AACAAATTAAGAAAAATTGAATTATACTATACTTTGAATGAAAACATGTAAAATGCATGTTTTATGAAGAAAATAATTAGTATAGAAAATGCTCTTAGATCAAGAAATAAAGAGTAAATTGACCTACATCACACAAAGAAGATAAGGAGAATAATTTTGTTATACACCACGTACAATGAAGAGCTGTACAAAAGGGGCATATCAACTCCCCTTCTGAAGTGTTTAAATGATGAATAGGCTCAGTATGTGACAGTCGAGCTACATGAGGGGATTTGTTGTCTTCACTCAAGAGCAAGGAACATGACGGTACGAATAGTCCAAGCTGGGTGTTACTAGCCCACAATGTGACGTGACACTAAGAACTTTGTAAAGAGATTCAAAAAATGTACAATTTGCTCTAGTATTCTCCTTACCTCGTACAGTGTTGCACAATATAGTCATTCCATGGCCTTTTGCCATTTGGGGAATGAACATAATTGGATCTTTCCCACTTGCTTGAGCATAAATGAAATTTCTTATAGTGGTCATAGACTACTTCACTAAATGCATAGAGGTAGAACCTCTAGCCACCATAATAGCACAAGTACAAAATTTGTCTGAAATAATGTTATTTTCCGACATGGCCTTCCCCAAGTATTTATCACTGATAATGGGAGACAATTCATATACAAAAACTTAGAGTAGTTCTTTAAGCAACTCGGATTACAACATAGAGTATCATCCATAGAACATCCCCAGTGTAATGGATAAGTCGAGGTAGCTAACAAGGTCATATTGGGAGAGTTAAAGAAAAAGTTAGGCAATTCCAAAGGGTTGTGGGCCGATCATATACTGGAAAGATTATGGGCTTATCACTGTATTCCTCAATCTTCTACTGGAGAAACCCCATTTAAGCTAACATATGGGACTGACGCCATGATTCCCGTCGAGTTAGGTGAGGAGTCGTGGCGACGACAACTATTCAATGAACAAAAAAATAACAAAACCTTATGTATTGAATTAGACTTGATCGACCAATTAAGAGCTTCACATTGTGTCTGAGAGCAAGATATAAAATAAAGAATAGTTCGACGTCACAACTCTAAGGTCATAAAAAGAGACTTCCAAAAATGGGACCTAGTGTGGAGGAAAGTCAAAGAGGTGTGGAGAGTACACAGAGAAGGAATATTGGCTCCTAATTGGGATGGGTCATTCCATATCACAGACTCATTACACAATGGCTCGTACAGATTGCAAGAGTTAAGCAAAAAGATCATTCCACAAACTTGGAATGCAACACATCTAAAACCATATTACAGTTGATCGGAGCAAAACAACCTTAGTTGAGGATACAAGTATAAATGTAATACTCCTTACTCGGGAACACGAGTATAAATATATAACGTCTTGCTCGGGGATACGAGTATAAATGTATAATGTCTTACTTAGAGAAACTAGTATAAATGTATTATGTCTTACTCAGATATATGAATATAAATGAATTAAGTTTTACTCAGGGTTATAAATATAATATCATCTTACTCAGGAACACGAGTATAAACACATCATTTTGATCGATAATACGCCAATACGCATATAAAAAAACATCGTACTTGGAAATACGAGTATAAAACTTACAAAAAGCCTACATATTAATCTAAAAAGTTAACACAAACGTTGCGAATGTTTGATAGAAGTTACACATCAATCCAAATAATATATATGACAAATATTAATCCATCCATCATATATTATCATTTACTAACTATCACCTACCAACTCGTCATCTCAAACATCCTTTTCAATATTAAAAGGATAAACATCGAGCTCAGGGGCAAATAAGGCAACTTAGCGCATGACTTTCTCAAAGTCATCCTCATAATTATCCAACATGTTGTTCTTCATCTTGATCAATTGGCTCTTGTGCTAAGATAGCTCCCCTTCCAACATAATAATCTTATCCTCAAGTTCCTTGTTTTGACTTACCTCCGCTTGGAGGTTGTCTTCAGCCTTCAAAGCATGAGAAGTAAACACTTCATTTTCCTTAGCCTTGGCAGAAATAACATCATCGTGAGTCTTCAGTTGAGCGTTTAGTAAAGTCATCCTTTGTTAGGACTCAACCAAATCCTTCTCCAATATTTTTATTTTATCGACACTGGAAAAGGCTGATGACTTCCTCAGGTGATGAACTATGGACAAACATCGAAGCATCATCACCTCAATAGACTCTAAATTGTCAACACCTACATGATTCATGATATCAGCATCGAAACGTGATGGTATATTGGGGTGAGGAAGTTTATTTGTCTTAAAAGACGTGTACCATAGATATTCTACGTCATAATAAGTAAGAGGTGATCCAACAACCAAACAGGGCCCTCCTGACCTCTAATAATCCTTGAGGTATCATGAGAGAGCTCAGAGACAGGTGAAAGGTGTGTTGTAGGCATTTGCTCATCTGGAATATTATCCAAGTCCACATCATGTTTGGGGGAAGTAGGGGGAGTAGATTGTACTCGTTGTCACTTAGACATCCCGTACAACACAAGGACTAATCAATGCATGACCAAGTTCCTCCCTTATTTTTCTGTAGTCAAACTTGGGTCTCATTATTTCTACATAACAAATAAAAATAGATCAGGAAAAGCAAATAGAAAAACAAAAACCCATCATAAGAGAACCAGTAAAGACTACTTGCAAACATGAAAAGTTGATCATCGACAAAATATTTATTAATGTTCTACAATTTATCAGACGTGGAAGTCCTTTTATCAATTCAATATCTTCTTTCTCGGAAGAATATAATAAATGTTCCACCTGAGACTTAAACTTAAGAGGAGCTCGCTGCCAGAACAGTGGAAAGTAGGGATTATTATTGGGGTAATGAAGTACGATAAACATGTCACCATACTGCACACCATTCAAAGATATCCAACCGATCTCATTACCATATTTCACTTGATAAAAGTATAAAAACTTATTTACGCTAGGCTCAATACTTAAAAGAGAACAAAGAATTTGGAAAGCCTTGGGAAAAACCCAACTATTCGTGTGAAATTGGGTAAGATTCACATTTAATTCGATCAACATAACACACTTGAAGTCGTTAAAAGGAAGGTTTATGTCTAGATCATTGAACCAATATTCATAGGCAAAGAAGAACTCATTCGAACTACTCTGTTATACTCGGTTAAGAGGCAAACAATGTTCCACTACCATTAAGTCTAGATTATCCTTTGAAGCAATATTAGTATATTGACAAAAACTAAGGACAAACAAAGGAGATAAAAACTCATAAATATAGGAATCTATAGCACCAAAAACCCAAGTATATTCAAAGGAGGTAATGCGTGGATGATCTTTGGGATTACCCTTATTCTCATATGCCCTAACAATTCTCTTAGGGTTAGAGAGGACTTTCCTCTTAGGTTGAGGACGATTGGTTCATGGAACAGGTCTTCCCTCAAAAGAAACTTCACCCGTAACTCTGATAGCCCCTATCACCGAAGCATTTTCTATAGACACGAAAAGGGTGTGCTCTTCGTTAGAACTATTAGCCAACCCTAAACTGGTTTACATTTTTCTCACCGATAAAGCATCAAGTTTGCTACTATCAAAAACAAACATAATGCAAAAGTAAGGAGAACATACCTATTGATGTAGAAGTTATTCGAAGGAAAATTATAAAAATGAAAAACGTGAAGATAGACTTTAAAAAATTTAAAAATAATATCTCTTCAAATTCTTAATATTAATATTTTATTCAAGTCGTCTATTAAAATATTATCTTTCAAATTATAAACTCATTCAAGTCATCCAGGTAACCCGTTCTGTCTTTGTCCTCCAAACTTAGAGGACTTATATTCTTACCCGATTAAAATCAAACTATTATTGAACTAATTAATTATAATAATCACTCAAATTCTTTAAAGACATTATTTTAATTTATTTTATTATTAATTAATTTTATTCTATTATGTTATCTCATTGATTATTATCTTAACTCATTATTATCTTTTAAATACTATATAAAAAAATTCAATTAAAAAGTAAAATTCACCTTATATCTTAATCTATTCTCTTATCTAAAAATTGTCTTAAAAGATCGAAACATCTTTTACAAATAAACCTTTACACTTTTAAAGAAAAAATAAACTTTAAATAAAACAACTTCCGATCAGTTCCAGTAAGAACAGACCAATAATCTATTAACATCAAGAGCATATAGATTGCCTATTTAATCAAATTGGGTATCCAACTCATCCCACAGTTTTAAAATTTGAGTAACGATAAGCCCGATTCCCAAACTTCGTTGAACCACTATTCATTATATATTAATGTAAGCGAAGTACAAACCTACAAACAATGATTTATTTTGCGAAGCCCTCTCTTTTTAATTTAGCTAATACAAACAGAGGTTCATCGAAAGAATCTGGCAGTGAAAAAGAAAAATGGGATAGGATGAATTATCCCCAACTACATTATAAATTGTAATATCAGGGAATTCAGTAGTCACAAGAATCATAATAGAAATGCAGTATAAAGGGGGAAATACAAATTTAGGAGGTGGAAGTTTAATATAATTTATATGCTCGTGGATCTGATGCCGACCACGATCCCTTTCAGAATTACTACGACTGTCATAAAATATGTACATCAACTTTACAGAAAAACAGGTGATTCCCTGATCTTCCCTTGTATGATTACAAGGAATGCTTCCGTTTGATCCTTCCCACGAGGGTCAATTAAACGGAATGCATGCCCCCTTCTAATACAAGTAAATGCAAGAAATGCTCATCCACTGTACAGTTTACGCTCATAAGGAATGTACAACAATGCTAACAAAACTTGCCAACGCAGAGCAGAAAGCAACATTTTGCAACAATTCAGTGTGATCAGAACCCTAACTCTACATTTTTCCATTCTCAAATAAAACTCCCCCAACAGCAAAATCGCATGGCATCAATTATTATGGATGTCAGCCTCGAGGGCAAAATAAAGAACCAGGCTGGGATCCAACACTACCTGTCATGCTCCACTGGCCCACTAGCATATACATCCTCGTTAGAGTGCTTGTCATTTGACAGGCAATCAGCAGGAACATATGCATATCCTTTCGGTAGCATTGAATTCTTCATAGATGCTTCATCTGACGTCATAACAAGCTCCTTTCCAAATGTTTCAGCATGCTGCAATTCCAAAGGAGCATCACGTTAGAAGTTATTCCACTAAATTCACAATTCACCCACCCACAATGCACAAACTAGATATCCCAATGAAAAATGAACAAAACGAAAATTGAACATTGAGTCTGTCGTTACTCACCTTTCTAGATTTAGACCTCCATCCACCTTCATCTGAAATATTTCGTGATGCAGCAGCTCTCTGAGGAATCTTCTTGCCAGAAAATTGAGTTCTTTCTGGAATATTGTGGTTATATTTGCTTTGGGAGGTTGAGCAGTCATCATCTAATTTTGGGTCTGTGTCCATAGATATGGCGACTCTGACACGGTGCTTAGCAGAAACAGAACTGTCAACAGTAACATCATCCGATCTTTGGAGTGGTTCACTGCACGATCTGTATCCCTCTGTGTTCCCTTTCAGGGACGTTGTAGCTGATTCTGAACTACCATCTGGAAGGATGAAAGGGCTATGAACCAGGACAGACCTAGCAACATTATCTCTTTTAAAGGCGAGAATGTCATGTGAACATAGTACTAATTCCCGCTGTAAATGTCCACAATACCAGAAATTAATAACCAAAATAGCTATGCAATGCAGCTCACGTGAAAGAAAAATCCACACATGAGAATGTACAACCTAACTGAAAATGCTATATAGAGATTCTTTCTATATATATATATATATATATATATATATATATATCTGGAAATGGCAATTGAATGTCGTCAATAATACAGTGTAGAATGAAGGAAACTAAAAGAACAATGAGATCTTATGACAAATTCAACAAATCGTCACCTTTATTTTTTCACGTTTAACAATTCTTTCACAGAGGAGACGTAATCTCTCTAGTTCAACCTGTTTCAGAAACATACAGGAAGAAAAATTATTTGATAAACTTCAAATTACGCCTAAAATCACTTGCACTAACAGAGACTTCAAAACCGAAGTGATATCATGCACAAATAAGTATAATGCTGACCCCTTTACATACTCTACAACTGCCATATAAAATAGAAGCAAGGAGAATTTTCTTTTTCACATATAGGTTATGGTTGGTAATGATGGGTAGTAATTCAAAGTTTGAAACAACTTTCAATTTATTTTCTGCTAAAATAAAAGAGTAGACATCAGCATGTCATGCATTCAAGTGACGATCAAGGCACCACTTTCTTATAATCTGGGATTAAGAGTTAGGACCTAACTCATCTCCCCAAAACTGGTCTATATGGTGGAGACTACTTAAGCACTGTACTTAGCCAAAATCTCTGGTTGATATGAGATCTCAACCCGGTAAGAGTCAATGTCTTGATGATTCAAACTACGATGTTTCACTCATTCCTTCTTGTCACTTTCTCCTGCTATCACTAGCTAGAGAGTTAATCCCTCCTCTTCCATATGATCATTGTCAGCATAGTACCCACACCAGTTTACTCTTTCTCATTTATAGGCTTATAGCATAAACTTTGGGAAACTAGAAGAAGCCAACATTTGTTAAGACATCCGAGATAGAGTTTTGGAGAGACAAAAATGGCAGAATACTTAATTACCACATCCAAAAAAAAAAAATAGTGGAGAAAATTGTCATATTGTCTATATAATAGTCCACAAAGCACCTGTAAATATAGGAGCTAGTCATGTTCTCCACATTTTGTAGGACTTGTTAAAAACAAATAAATGATATACACGTTCAGACTTGAGAAACAAAAAGAAATATTACTTTATTATGTTCCATCATAAAAATCAAAACATGGCCTTAATCACTACCAAGACATTTAAGTAGCTAGAGGCAGTTAAGGAATGGAACAGAGAGGTATCACTACTTTCACTCAGTGTAAACTAGAGATTATGTAGCTAGAGGCGGTTACTAATCTTTTCCGGTGTGCTGAGCCATGAAGTAACCTAATGCTTTGAAGTACTCTTCAATAATAAAGTAAAAAGTTTTAAACAGAATTTAAAATTACAAAAATTCATTTCTCTAATCTGTTATTTCTTAGTATTTTATGCTCAACCAGCTTGTCGTATGTTGCAAAACTATACCATTGTATCCTAAAGCCGACAACAATCATTAAACAAGATACTTCCATCCACATAAAATTTTTAATTCCCTTCACTAAGGAAAAACTCAGTAAGGTCATTATTTGGTTTAATTTGGATTAAGTGATATAATAAATGGCATACTATTAAATCATATTTCGGCTGACCCGCCAATCCAAAAATTAGGATCAAACCAGAATCCTTTTCAACAGAAGACCGCAAAATATTTTAAGCAGGCTTAGAAGTCTACAAATAAAACATCCTAATTTCAGAGGATAATGTATCCCATTATCAACTCCCGCAAATAATAATGAGGAAGCTGGTAAAAAAATGGAAATGAAGACTCACCCTAATTTGCCTGATACTTTTTAACTCTTCAATTCCATGTTTTTGATTTTCAGCCTGAACAAAATTAGGAGCACAAACTTAACATACCATCAAGGTAGACCAAACAAGAACATTTAATTACTAGAGGCAGAATCTAACCTTTGTTTTTTGCTCCAAACTGTGCTTTTCACAGTAAGCTTTGTGTTGAGCCTTGCCACCAGCAGTTCTCACATTCATGTACAAACCAGCACTTCTAGCACAGGATGGATGGAATGTGGTCTGGCAATGGCCATAACAACACTGCATTCACCATTTAAACTTTCAATTGTCAAACAAAAACGTCAATTTCAAAAGATTGCATTAAAACAAAGGATAGAGAAGCAAATTCATTTTTTATGTTATCATTACCTTCATGCATACACCATGCTTGCGGTGGCAGATGCAACAAATATCAACTCCTTTTGGCACAGTTTCCTGGCATTTAACAATCAACACTGATACGTGTTAGAAAAGATAGGTCAATTTTATTTTTTTCAAAGTTAACAAGCAAGGGCAAGGAAGGTGGAATTCCAAATTAAGGAATTATAATTATCAGCTTAGTCAATGAACGTACCAATCCTTCAACTGCATCTAGTTGTCCTCTTTTGAATGTAGACTCAAAAACCCACTGGTAAATATTCAAAATACAAGTTTAACACTTAGCCAAACTATGGTATTATAGGAAGAAAGAACAATCTTCCAAAGATATCAAAGGGAAATAGTTAACCTCAGCACAGAAAGCATGAACCCATTGACCATCAGAAGACTTCCTAAAAGCACCAGTAGTAGCACCACAGAGAGCACATTCTGCTCCAATATTAGGCTTCTCCCAAAAATTGATAGCAGATGCTCCAGAGTTTCTAGATGACAAATCTTCACATAACTCACAGTACCACGGACCTGTTGTTTCTTTCACACTACGATAGCAATCTAAGTGCACTAATACCTGCAAAAGAAACACAATTACTATGGAACATAGATCAGAGAGACAAATACATGAAAAAAGACCAGGGATGTGTCCTAAAACCTTGCAACCAGAGCAGACTAGGATAGGGTTTAAAATAGTTTCTGATCGTCTACAAATATCACATGATTTACATTGCTCCTTAGAAAAATCTGAGATTGGCATGCAAAAATCTGAATATTTCTCTGATGAAGTTCTAGTCACAGCTACTCTAGAAAGTGTCTCTTTGGCTCGAGGCATTGGTTGAGAACAAGCACCTGTCCTTCCATTTAAAGTGTCCAATTTTAACAAATTCTGAAAAAAGATCATATTCTGTTGTCAATAAAATTAGCTAATTATTGAGAGAGAGAGAGAGAGAGAGAGAGAGAGAGAGAGAACAAAGCATCAACAACCTCCTGTTGCATAGAATCATCTAAGGAGTCTTTTCGGAATGCCCTAGTAGATGCTGCCGCAGCAGCAGTTGCAGCAGCCAATACGGCCTGTGCCTCCTTGTGCTTTCTTTCTTTTCTGCCCTGCTTTTTTGCCTCTCTAAGATCACGTAGATATTGATTAACAATAACATCATCCCATCTTTGTTGATGTGTCTTATCAATCTCTTGCGGTAAACTCTTGGCAACACTGTAGATTAAATTATCTGCAATTACAAAGTCAAGAACCAATAACTATAGCTCCATGTTTAACAAAAGGGAAAACAAATCCCTGGACCCAAATTTGAATGTGGTATACAAGACAAACAATATTTACAACTTCAAATTAATTTTAAAAAACAAGGACTTGAATGAGAATTTGGGAAAGAATGAGGACACACCAATATGCCTCCTTTTTGCAACCACATTCTGCAATAACCTATATTGAAAATAAACAAGTTCCCCCTCCAGTTCATCCTGCGGGGGAAAATCCAACAGTTCCATTTTTTTAGTCCTAACCAATTGTTCCCTCTCGTAAGGCTTTGACATGTCACTGCAAGTTAACTTCTGATTTTGGCTGTTTGAGCAGCCACTAGCCCCAAAGGATTCAAGCAAATTCGAATTTCTGTTATCACCTGAACCTGCTGAGTGAGGAATTTGTTAGACCATTTCATAGGATATTAAAGAAAACATTAAGGAGCCACTTTGGTATGAGGTCATCCAAATTTTCTAAACACATAGAAACCTGTTTATTTTATATTTTGGTATAATACCATCCCAAAAAAAGTTTTGACATACTTTTGAGAATTGAAATTTTCACGTATCATGTACCCAAATATTACAGAAAACAGGTTTATATATATTCAGGAAATTTGAACAACCATACCAAACACCTCTTTAAAAAACATTCAAATTTATCTCACATATAACATCCTCTGAGGGAAGCCCATCACGAATCTGCAGCAATTTCTTGTTGATGAATGGATGAATATAACTAGAAACTGCACCCTTTCTGCATTTCAAATAAATTAAAATTGGCTTTAAAGAAGAATACCAACCTCTGGAAGTCATCACATCAAAGGATTTCTACTAACACATAATAAAAGTCAGAAAGCAGTACAAGCCGCAAATAACTAAAATATCCACTTTGAAAAGCTCACATGAAACCAGAATCAGATGGTTCTGAAGCAGAATGAACAAGACAGTGCTGATATGAATGTGTAGTAGGATTTTGCAAACATGTAGTAGACTTGTCTTCTGTATTGTACCCAGTTACGCAGGATCTGTAAGGTTTATCAGCATTGCCTGCAAAGTGAAACACATTGACCATAACTACAATAAGAATACTCAGAAGAAGGTCAGACACATACAGTTAAAAGCAAAAAAAAAATCATTAAAAAGTATATTTTTCAACATACAAAATCATCATCTTTCTTTTAAAAGAGACAAAATAGATGGGGGAGGGGAATTTTTGAAAGAAATTACCAAATACTAGTAAGAAGTAAATGTTGAACTCTGAAAAAGGAAGTTAAAATGAAGATATACCTTGAACTTCAGGAAAAATATCCTCAGACTTGTCTGTGTTCTGCATTAACAATAAATAAAGTTAAACATAATGATAATTTTACCCATTTTGGTTTCTGCAGAGCAGATGGAAAAAGTAAGCCCTAAAATTTGTAATGTAAATATTAACTGCACAATTTTTATATCAAACAATGTGGTTGCCAAAATTATTTAAACAGGGGGGAACCAGTTGATTTTTATTTTTTACTTTTTCATTTCTCTTCATTGATATAGTTTATTTTTAGTCCTTCATGTCCTAGCATCACACAAGTCAAATTGGAAATTACGTTCCAAGACAATAAAGAAGCCCTAAAATATTGAAAACTTAAAAGCTCATCAACCCACAAAATTCTAGTTTACAATCAAATCGTCATACAAAATCACTAAGATAGAGTACTGCATTAGTCAGGCGAATCACATTCTTGGAAGTAGACAGATCAAGAAAGAGGAAAACAAAACACAAGAAAAGCAGGCAACACCACTTTTCCAGTTAAGCATCACTCTGTACACACAAAAATGAATTACTAAAAGCAGATATTGATATGATCATATATAAATAAAATTGATGAGGAGAGTAAAATCTATATTAAAATCATGGGATGTGACTTCCAGAAAACCATTTTAAAATTCAAAATGTGACCCCACTGACAGAAACTGGATCAGAATAAAAAGAAATGGGAACAAAAACTGGACCCTCCACATCAATTTGGATTCCTATCAAATTACAAGATAAACCTCCCTCTCAACAACACCTGTTTTTATGTCCAGGCAGCATGCTTTAACTCTAATTATACCACAACCCCAACTCTCAAAATTCCTACTTATTCTACCGGCGATGGGTCTACCAATCACCCGATATCATATCTGCAGTACGATCTATACTCAAGGTCTTTTGGGTTTGTGGGGTATGGCTACATTGTCTGTCCCAAGCCCCTGTAAAGGGTTGTGTTAGGCTTTAAGCAGCCAACATAAAGCTAAATGATATATTAAACATGGGAAGAAATTAAAAAGAACTTACCTGGCAACACATCTTTGGAAATAAAGAAAGAAAATACATCTCTCTAATACTAAAAATTAATCTAAACAAACAAAAATATAGAAGGCATGAAATTTCACAAACTACATCCAAATTGAATCGGCAATTTATGCCATTATAAAGAGTACAAACATCACTGAGATTTCTCAAGGCAGAAGCAGTTACTAGCAGAAAAACAACAAAAATAACTCTCAGAATATAGCCTTTAAATCTAATTAAACCTCACAAAACTAGCTTGTAAATAAGAACTGTCTATACCTTGTGTTAAGGTTCCAACATAAAACCAATTGGCAATATGTGGAGTAGCCTAACATGTATTTAAACCATACCAAATGATATGAGGTAGGCGATGTGGGACTTTTCAACACACACCCTCCAACGAAGCCCGCCGGACCAGGCAAAGGGTACTTTTGACCCAACTAAATGGCAACTTTTGGCCCATGACAATAACCGGAAAAATGTTAGGCTTTGCCTCTGATACCATGTTAAGGTTCCAACATAAAACCAATTGGCAATATGTGGAGTAGCCTAACATGTATTTAAACCATACCAAATTATATGAGGTAGGCAATGTGGGACTTTTCAACACCTTGAAAACGAAATTAAGGGAACCCCCAAAGAGGCCAAGGCTAAGGCAGGCTAGGGATGACAAAAATTAGTGTGACAATGGCAACACTAACCAACTTCTAAACAACAATTGTAAAAAATGAATTAGTGAAAGAAGCTGCTCATAGTGAAATTTTAAAAGAATTACACCTTGTATGTAAACCATCCTTGCAAAAATGTTAACGATGATCTGGGAGAGGGTAACAAAGAACACAAGGGAAGAAGAAAAAAATGGTCACGTGGTTCAAGATTGACAAAGAAACAAATGGGTACAAACAAATAACATGATTAAAATTAAGTTACTAGTGAAATTTCAAAGTTCCAGGACCAGGTAAAATGCCAAATCCCAAAACAAAACTTCAGATCATTTGTTATACACCTTAAAGTACTGAATCATAGACAATTTATGTATTAAAACAATATGTATTACTCAAACAAACAAAGGATAATAAAGTCTAGAAATAAAATTACCATTTCAGATGCATTTTGAATGGATGCTTCATTGGAACTTGTTGGATTGTCACAGTTGGACTGGCCTACTCTGCACATGTGCACCGTCATCCCATTCTCACTTGTAACCCCCTCAGATGAACATATCACTTTATTATCCTTCAAAATCCTAATGTTACTGGTTGTTCTTCTCCTTGGTGGAACTGACTTAACAGCAACAGGATCCAGCAAACCCGAGTCTGATATTGATAAAGTATCAGAGCCATCTGTGGCTCCACTATCATTTTTGGATGCATTAGCTGGTTTGAATTTAACCTTTAAACCCTTCTGAAATGCACTAGTATATACATGGGCTTTTAGCCAATTCACTATTTTGTGCCGGACATCAGGGGCCATATAAGCTTCCTGCAAGGATAAAGTTTGTAACATAAAACTAAGAAACCAATATTATACTAAGAATAACTATTTTCCACAAAGATAACATGACAAATTTCAAACATTACATTGGTATTTGCAGTTAAAGTATCTGGTGAAATGCCAATCTCCAATGCTACATCTTTGACATCAACTTTTCCTCGATCAATCAACTACCAAAGCGTGAATGTCAATTTAAACAAAGCATGGAATAAGATCAATTGTTTACAAAATTATAGCTCTTTCCAAAACAAACACATATACAGATAAACTTATAATGCAGAATACCTTCTTCAAAACTAGAGCAAAACTGAGAGAATCAGATGCATCAACATTCTCCGTCACTCTCCCTACCACTTCAATATTTTGTTGGGGGGTAGCACCACATCCCAGCATATGAGCACTTAACCTGCAATCAGGTAATACTCCATCTAGTGGTTCATCATTATGGTTCAATTTGTCTGGATTACTATCAGAGGCTAATCCTCCATTCCTGCAATCTCTCAAGTTGTGTTCACCACTCACTGGCAATGTCACTGGAAGGCTATTGGCTTCTGAAAGTTCATTTCTAACCTCAATAGAGCCTTCCTGTGGCAAGACGCTTCTGTTCTCTGGTAGATCTGAGTGTTTCAAGCAAAAAGCTCGCAACTCAACCTGACAAAACATGACATATAAAAATAAACTCCTGTAGCACTACAGTTTAAACATTTGTGACTAAAAAAGGGACTGTTGGCAACTTAGGAATTGTCCGATATTCATATACAACATTTTGTTTAATTGGTTTAGTATCTTCTTGTAAAGGGGAACAGGGACATTTCAGAAAAATACAGATTACTCACATTATCATTACCATACTTTGCCCAAACCTCCATCCTATGTCTAGCTTCCCTTGCACATGAAGGGTGGAAAGATGTTCTGCAGCTTCCTGAAAATACCACACAGAAGAAATGACTTGCAAATTGCAAGATTTTGACAAGAAAATAGTTCAGAATACAACTAACAAACACAACTCATACAGGATCAAAAGGAGCACATATATTGAAATATTTACTATTTAGAAACGGTAGCTGCAGTGCATCACAAAAATGGTATGCCCAACAAGAAACCATAACCAAACATGACACTTATAAACAACAAAAGACAAGAAAAGCTTTATCCCACTGAAAGGATGTTTGTTTCACTTATCTTCTTTTATTCCTAGGAAGATGAGGATGGGAATCCATGTTCTCATGTTTGTTAGGAGGTTATGAAAATATATTCCAGAAAATTATTTATACCTACTAAAGTTACACTCTCACATTTTAAGTGGTTTTGGTTCCCATTAGAAGGGAGTGGGTATCTAACATTCCCATAGGAGTGAAAGTTATTGTCTAAAACAAATAACCCATCCCCACTACATTCTTCTACCTATCTTTCAATTTTATTTTTCAATTTTAAATATTAATTAAATAAAAAGTATTTTCTGTCTAAAACTATAAAATACCAACCATATGTCTATAGGAATAACATTTTAGGGTATAATATTCCTGGAAATACCCTAAGTATAGTCAGCCACATGATGATACTATAGGGCCGACTGAATTATAGCCCACATTCTCAAAGATATTATTTACCATGAGAATAGGGATGGAAACAGGTCGAGTTGCCCAAGAGGGGTCTATGGCATGCCCTATATAGGCTCAAGCAAGGCTAGACTTTATTAAAGTCTATTAATGTGATTAAAAAAAGTCAAGCATTTGGCTACTCAAAAAGCTTTTTAGGCCTAACAAGGTGACTTATTTAAGTTAAGTAAATATAAATAAAATCTTTTTTTAGTATTATTGTTCATATTATTTCAATATTAAAATTGACATAATATATAAAAAACATATTTATTTACCTTTCCTACTTATCAAGCATATTAACCCACATAAAAAAAAAACAAGTTATAAGACCGTTAAAAGATAAATTGTATTTTGTCTACGGGCAAAATAGGATTTTAAATAGAAGATGGTTATTTTATATTATATATACATAATTATATATACCCCATCTATATAATATTAATTAATGAAAAAATCATAAAAATTGCAGTTACAAACGCATGCGTATTTATTGTATTCCAAGTGAACAAAATATTTATTGCTACAATAAATAAAGTATTAAAAATAATGCAATTTTATAATAAAATATTATAAAATTTATATATATATATATATATACACACACACACACACAATACAATAGATCTATTGCTTAATAATATAAGAAATTTGTAATAACTAATGAGAATCTTTAGGGAAAATAATTTAAAAGAGTTTATAACAAAACAACAGGCTCGCAAGTTAGGTCAAGCTTTCATCCACATCAGACCAGACCTTAGAAAAAAAAAAGGCTTTACGACAGGTAAATAGGTCAGGGGCTTGGACTTATTTATTTTAACAAGGTCAATTCCAACCCCAACAAAGCCTGGTCTAGTTTGCCTTATTTGCAACCCTACATGAGATCCGTCCAATGTTCTTCTAAGTCTCCCACTCTCCCTTTTCACTCAACTAAAAAAAATATGCAATCTACTTTCCACACCTATGGTTCTATAGCTGTTCGCAGACCTAGGTAGAGGAGATGCATTGTGTTCAGGGAAGCCCTAATTACCATTAACAAACATATTAATGATGTATACTAAGAATACTTTACTCGCTCCATTATTCCAAACTTCATTGAGGAAGCTTAAAATAATTGGGAGTAAAAGATTAGGGCAAGCTGAATTTATTTAATAAAACAGAAAATAGTAAGGTCATTCCATTTCTAAAAAACTACTCACATGATCCATAGCTTTGAGTACACTAAAGCCTAATAATGACTTCCTACCCCATAAAGAAAAATCCTACCATTTCTTTGAGCAGTTTTAGCAACCAATGTAAAACTTGTCAAAATCCCAGACATATATCATTCGTCACAACTAAAATCCTGTTCAGAGTTCGTCAACAAGATTGGCCAAAATCCTATATTCAAATTGTATAGATCAAAATATAAACTTATGAAACACATGTCTGCAATAGTTGATATAACAATTTTAAAGGCCTAATTTCCAAGATTTCAAAAACAACACTAGTAGGCTCCAGTGGTTTATATTTTATTTAGTTTTTTTTCATGGGTTTCCTGTCACAAAATAAGTGAGACATGTATCTAGACAAAATCAAAATTGAGAAGTGTCATTAAACTCTCACCAGAAAATACCAAGATGATCAATGTTCTATTTTGCCATAGAAAAACAAACCAAAGTATCAACAGGATGGTAAAAAATTTGAACCTCAAAGATTTATCTTTTAAATAGGAAAATTGGCATTATATGCACTACACATCCGTGCTGTAAGTGGTGACACCATTGCAGCCATGGCAGAGTGGTGTGGGGGATCATTTGCCAACCACCATACACAATTTGTGAAGGGAGGCCCACTATGTTGGTACCATAGGCTGCAATGGATTTATATGGCAAAAACCCGGTGTTCCCCCATTGGTAACACAGACACCAATTCTGTAACGCCCACCTCCAACTCAAAGGTCTAATTTGATAAACAGAAAAATCAATCGAATATCAAGAGAAGCAGTGTTTAATACACACACACACATGCTCAACTTTGCATTCAAATTAAGCATGCTGGGTAGTCAAAAGAGAAACAGCAAATGATATTTTACAATCCACAGTTTATCATCAGACATTGGTAACTACTATGTGCATCCCAAACAAAAACTTACATTTCACCGTCTTCAGTTTCTCCCAAAATCACATTGAAGTGTAAAAAAAAATAACAAAAACTGCACAAAAGACATGAAGAAGAGCATAGTCCAGTTTCAATGCAACTCACATTATCATTATCGACAGTTTCTTACACCATGAAAAAATAATCAACTACACTGTAATTTCAAAATTTTACTTAGCATATTTCAATCACTAAATAGGCATAATTAATAAGCCAATTGTCCAAGTCGCACATTACTGAGAAAAAGGAATATTCAAACAGAAGGATTAGGATAGTCAGTGATTGGATTGATACTTGTCTTAAGAGAAATGGAAAGACCTTACAACCTAATTCCACAATTCTCCAGAGACCAGTGACGTTTAATAACAAAATAACAAGACAATACGCAAAAGAACAAGATACATAAAAGCTTGTTTTTTGAGAAGACAAAGAGCATAAATAAATACCCAAACACATGTCCACTTGAATAAGGCATGTCAAATAATACGACACTAATGTTGAACCAAATACCAAATCAATATTTTCAAAATAACTACTCAAATCACACACAATTTTAATCACCATTTTGCAATCGAAAAATTAGTGCTTGTTAATCAATATGATGTTTCAATGAAGAGATTAAATTGAGCTCAACCTCACTTACCTAATCTAAACACAAATCATCTTAGCACAAAGTAACCTAACCATTCTGCACAGACCAAAAGGCAATAGGCATACGAATTATGTGATATTAAAATATTGCAATGTAAAGCCAAATCAGAAGGTCTAGCAGACATGATTTCAACCATAGATTTAAAACACTTGAAAACTGGCCGAGGAATTGAAAATTGTGTGGTACAATAACACAATGAAACATACCATGGCTACACCGAACACATGCACCACTCTTTGTTTTGCAAACACTACAAACTATTTTTTTCCGGGTTTCCTTGATTTCCCCCACATTCATAACAGGTTCCATTTTCTTCAAATCATCTACATAAACCTCAGGCATCCACAGAGAGCAAAATAGGTGCACAAACTGGACAGAACCAGCACCTTCCTCACTGCTATTAACTGGTTTTAATGCCCCACCCTTCTTTGGGCAAAGAACACAGGGATTCACTGATTCATCAACATCACCCATTTGCTTGCACCAAGTGCACAGCCAAGCCTCATCTACATCATCATGAACACCATAGCACTTCCGGTGAACCACCATTTTACAAGATGTGCAGATAATTAACCTATTGGGGACTCTGCCAGTGTCTCTCCGGCCACAATAATGGCAAAACGGTTGATCATCATCACAAGGACTAGTCATTATAACTTTCTCTAATCCAGCTCCAACACCCAAAAGTCTCCTTTTCTTAGAGGGTCGCTCAGAAGCCAGAGAAAGTTTATTCCTACAACCTAAAAACCACTCTAAACTAACAGAATCCGAAATGTCTTGATTCTTGTCATCCTGAGAACAAGTTTGTTCAACATCAACATCTTCAATTGTCTCAATTAACAACAATTCATCCTCATTTTCCACAGTTTCACCAACCTTCTTTTCATCCTCACTACTGACTCCTATATTGAATTTTGGAACAGGCTCCATCTCAATCTCCCTACTACTAGTAACTGCATTGTACCTGGGAGCATTTCCCACTTGCGGAATGGAGAACCAGTCCTGAGAAGCTAAACTAGAAGTGCGAGAGAACTCAAACAAGGTGTCAATATCAGCCAAGGTTAAGTCCCTAAAGTACTCCTCAGTCTCAATCCAAATGTTAGAATCCTCGGGCTTCTTCTGGTTTGCCCTAGTGGAAGACTTTCTCTTATGCCCACCTGAATGGGACTTCTTAGGACGTCTCCTGTTATCAGTCTGCCGGTTCAGCAAACCAGCCAACCCACTGGGCAGTGTAAGCGCAGTGGAAGTCGAAGTTTCATCAGCAACATCAAAAGGGGAACGTTCAGCCAGCGCTTTCCTAGCCTGGGACAAGTAATCAATTTCGCGTCCGGCAGAGTCACGATAAATTTTGGCCACAAAATCAGACTGATAGGGTCCCCCCATGGCAGCAGCATCCCCTCCGACCGCCATGTCCTTCAACGGCTGACATCGACTCTCAGTCATAGCCGGCAACAACAAGGTACACAAGAAGCAGAGCATTCCATCATATAAATCCAAACCCTAGCCTAACAAATTGAGGAGATAACCCTATCACGCTCACCAGTGAAGACTCAGTGACAAACCCTATCGCACCTGATTCGATTTCGAGAATGAACGAGGGTAAAAAGGAAGAAGAGGATAAGCCCCGTCTTCTAGGGTTAGGGTTCAGTTTTTGATTGGGATCCGTTTTTTTAGACTTCGTGCAGTTCTCTCCGGGGCAGGACAAGAGTGAGGTGAGAGAATAAAAAATTTAAAAAATAAAAAGAGAAATTAGTGTTTTATGCCCTGGTAGATATTTTTATAATATATTGTAGGTCATAAATTGACTCACACTTGGCACATGATTCTCAACAAAAATACAAATGTGCATCTCACCCACTACCTACTGTGTGTATATATATACATATATATATATATATATATATATATATATATATATATATTTTATTTTTTTTCTGAACAAAAATGCATAACATTTAATTATAAAATTGCATTAGTTTTAATAAATTATTTACTGTAGCAATAAATATTTTGTTCACTTGAAATACATAAATATCTTTTGAAATAATAGTTTAGATTACGTATAATTATCAATAAATAGGTATATTTATGTAACAGCAATTTTTATGATTTTATCATTTAATATTATAGTGGTTTTTTTTAATTATACTTTTATAACCTAGGTTTTTCACTATGTTATTTAAAACGTTGTGGTAACTGTTTTTTATTAATGGATCAATTAAAAATCATTATTAATAGTATTTTAAAATTTATTATTGTACATATAAAAAAATTATTTAAAAAATTAATGAGATAAAAGTGTTCCTTTGTTTTTATCTCTCTCTCTATATATATATATATATAACATAGAAAAATTAGAAAGATATACAATTAAAAATCAAATATATTAAAAAAATTTTAAAAAAATATATAATAAAAATGTGAATTCAAATTATTAAATAAAATAAAATTATTGTTAGTTGTAGAAAAATAGTGTCCGGGTGTTATTTGAAAAAAAAACATAGTAAAAGATAATGTTTGGTTAAAAAGTGGAAAGAAACATAAATAAATAATAAAAAATAATATTATTTTAAAATGTCTGCTATCTAATTTAGATTTAAATTAAATAAATACAATAAAGTTGACTTTATAAATTGATAATTAGAAGAAAAAAACATCAAAATTGAATATAGTGATGAAAATAAATAAGTACATTTTAAAATGACAATTAACTTAAAAAAATAAGTATATAATTAAAAATAAAATTATAAATGATAATAGTATTATTTTTTTAATTTAACACTTTCTTTATATTTGGGTGATCTGGAACAACTTAAATCTTAAACTAAAACATTTTAAAATTCTAAATAATGTATTAATACAAAAGAAAACAGTCAATAATCAAATAATATGGGTTTAAATCCACTATGAAGATGTATTTTTGTTGGTTTGTGGGAAGGATGTAATGTCTGGGAGTATTTATGTTGTGTTTTATATTGAAGATGAAAATATGAAACCTTTCCATTATATCTATTAGTAAATATTTTGTGTTTGTTGTAGTGTATTCGAAACAACTTACAATTCAAATAAAGATTTATATTAGTTTTTATTTTAAATATTCCAGTATCAAACTTGACCGTGTTCAATTTTAAATGTATTTTTGTTTTAAAATTTTGAAATTTAAGTAATAATAGTTAATTTTTAATATATAATATAATTACTAAAAATATTTACACATTATAAGGTAACAATTTTTATTAAACTTTATTATTAACTAACATAATGAATTAAAATGACTTAAATTTTAGAAGGGTATAAATGAATTTGTGCTTTGAATTAATATTATTGAAAATAAAATGTTTTTCCGTCTATTTTAATAAATTATATATATATATATATATATATATATATATTATATGAAAGTGGTATCTTCATATAATTAATTGTAATTTTATAGCAATTGTATGATTTGTTTTATATATATTATTTTTATTTTAAAAAATAAAAGTTTTTTTAACATATATTACTTTTTATTATTCTAGGATTAATTTATTTATCTATCTTAATAACCGCACACTACATAGACGCAACATCAAATTTATATTTGGACCAAAATAATAGAAGAGTATAAATTAATAAACTAAAAACATATTTAAATTATAAATAATTTGTAATTCATATTTTATAATGTCTTGTTATTAAATATATATTATCATTTCATATTTTATGATAAATAATTTATATTTTCATACAAAATTATTTTTATCATTCTTAATATTTTTAAACTATTGATATTAAATTTATATACACAATAAAATGGTTGATTGATTTTTATAACTAAAATTTGTAATAAAGTTATACTTAACCCATAAAATTATATATTGCAGTTAAAGATAAAATATTTATATTGTAATATATGTTTAATTATTGATACGTTTTAAAAATGTTGTAATTTAATTTTAAATTAGATAAAAAATTAGAGAGTAAAAAAGACTATCGACTGAATAGTTTTTAAAGGTATAAATTATTTTTGAAATTAAATTAACAAAAATGGTTTTTAAAAATATAAAAAATAAATGTAGCATTTATAAAAAGGCTTATGATATAAAAATTCATATTTATAATTTAAAAGTAGATATAATTGTTACTATTTAAACTTTTTCTCTTTCATATATTAATAACGGATTTTTTTTTTAATTTCAATTTAAATGTATAGAGATACCTTGTTTATACTCTTCCTTTTTTTTTCTTCTATCTTCGGTTAAGAAGATAGTGCAATACTGAATGCATAATTGCCCTATATAAAGCTAACAGTGTTGTTTAGTTAGGTGTGATAGAAGAGAAGGGAAGATGGACTTATTGGAGTTATGGGCAATTTTTGGCCCTGGGGTCGCTGGCGCTGTCTTCGGCGCCGGTTGGTGGATCTGGCTCGATGCCGTTGTCTGTAGCTCCGTCACCGTTCCCTTCCTTCACTACCTTCCTGGTGAGTGCTCAGCTTTTCATCTAGTTTATAGTTTTTTCAATTTTAGGGTTTCTATTAATCGATTATGCTTTTGATTAAAGGAATTTTCGCATCTCTTGCGGCTTTGATGTTCAATTGCGTTAGAAAAGAAGACATTGATTATTCTCCCTATGACGAAGGCGAGTGGAGGTACTCAATTACTTCCTTTTTCTATTGTCTACCTCTAAACTATTTCACATTCTAAATAATCGGTTGGATTCGGTAGGGACCTTGGATTCATACTGGTGAATAAATTATATAGTGATGATTCATTAAGTTAATGCCTCAGGACCGTGGAGTTTTAGTGCCTACAGGAGTACGTTGAATTAGTTTACTTAATCCAGAACGTGAACTTGAAAAGTAGTTTAGAAGCAAGCAAGGTGATTAGTAATGTGCTGGGTTTGCTCAACATTTTGTGGTGGTTAGTCAGTTTATCTTTTCCCAGTACTCTGGCTGAGGTCTCAACTCTCGAGTAATGGTGTGGAATGTTGATGTATTCGTGTGCTGGGACTCTGTTTGTGCATGTATCATGCATGTGTCCAAACTAGTTCAAAGAACAACTGAGTAGCAGTATGCTTGATCTTTGGATGATACTGAATTATTCAGTGTTTCTATTTTCTATGTTTATTACTGCAAATGTGCTATTTTCTCCTAAATTATTGACCACTAATTAAATGCTTGTAAACTTTAGTGGTAATAGATGTCTTTCATTGTTACCCTTCCTTCAAACTGCTATCAGTGAGAATAGAAACATATTGAATCTGATGCTCCAGTGTTTAATTGAAATGAGAGATGGTGATCATGTTACTACTTAGCCTGTGCAAGCAGATAACAGACAATAGCAAGAACAAAAGGTTTATTCCACTAGGAAGCTTATAGAACATACATGATCTAAAAGATTTATGTGTCTTAGTGTCCTCATGATCGAGGAATGTGAACATGCAAGAAGGGATAAAAGTGAAGCATGCCCATGCTATTTGGTGCATGTTGTGCTGGGCATCAAATTTGCTAGACAAAGTCACTTGTGATAGTCATATTATTTTTATTCACATTAGCACAAGCATGCTTCACTTTTTCCTTCTTGCATGTATCACTCTTTTATTAGCATAAGGCCTGGTGTATAAGTATCACTTCTTCTTTATTATGTTGGAATTTATTTTAACCACTTCTTCTTGTTGACAGACTGAAGCTGTGGCTCTTCATTGCTTATGTCGTATCCTTTGTTTCTTTGGCTGGATCAGCTGGTCTACTGATCCAAGATTCACTTGATAAATCTGCCCCTTCAGTTTGGACTGGAGTTGCAGGTGTTTTGCAGTGCGTTTTTGTCTTGATCAGGTAAATTCTGTTTCAACATATAATGATTCATCCATGTCCTCTTCATCTGTCGTGCTTCTCATGTAAGTTGATGCAATCCATAGAGTTATTTATTACTGTCTGATAACCTTTTGATACCTCAAGCTTCAGTCGTAATGCAAAAGTACCTTGTTTTTGCAATTGAAAAAAATTGTGTTGAAAAAAACCTGGAAATGACAAAAAAATGTTCACGGAAGTGGATATTTAAAAAGCTCTTTCAAAGTGATTTCAAACTGTTTGCATTTCAGATTACATAAAAAATTTGTGCCTAAATTTTACTTCTACTGTCTATTTAGGATAACAAGAAACTATTAATATACCAATTTCTAAAGTCATGATTGTAAATAATTTTTTCCAAAAGCAGTTTGAAAATGCAATTAAGTATACCTCCGAATCCATCTGTTACAGCTTGAGACAGTGCATTTTCATGTTTATTTCAATTTTGAAAACGGTTTAGATTCTTTGTAGCATGAATAGGTTCACTTTTTATTTTGTGGTTCATTATATTCTAATTCAAATTTATTGCATACAGTGGACTGGTATATTGGACTTCTCATCCTGAATAAGGTGCACCAAGATATGACTTGGAGCTTCAAACTATACCAGGTTATGTCCACCCATGTATTATCTTGATTATTTTATGTGACGGGATGCTGGCTTCATGTAAATTGTTAACAATCTTGAGCCTCTGGGTATAGTCGTATTTCTTGTTTCATATAGTTGATCAATATCTGTTATCCTGAATAATTTAAGTAGCTTGGTGTTGGTATCTATTAAGTCTTCCCCCTCCCCCGGTTTTCTCAGCGTTTGAATTCACAGCATACATGAAAGGAAACTTTGAGAATATGTTGACTGCATCTACGTTTCACTAGAAAAACTTTCCTGAGGATTCAGTTGTGTACGAAAGTTTCTGTAAATAGTATTATTCACTGTGAACACCTTAGGTGGTACTTAACAGTGGTTCTCAGAAACAATTATGCCGTCCTTCATTTATACTCTTTACACATGTTGCTTCTTCTTTGGAAAAATACATAAATGGGCCAAAGCCTAGCAGAAAAAATAAAATAAAAAATTCCAGTTAAACAAGTGTATGAAAGCCCCTGCATACACAGCTTGAGTCAATAATCCAGATATGCAGTGGAAAGGTTTGAGTATATGTTAATTACCCTTATTCGATGTTGTAGAAAATTGGCATTTTGATTCCATGGCCTTTTGATAGCCGGTACTGATGGAGTTCACTGTGGAAGGGCTTTCTGCGGCTGCAAATATGATGTGGATGGACTCTGATCATCAGTGTTTTGTGGACCTCGCGCTAATTCATGTTCTGCTGAATGAAAGTGGGGTACCTTTTTTGCAGCCGATCTTGGACACCTTCAATTCCTTCCGTAATGGGTTTTTTTGGAATGTAAAAAATACATGCCGGAAAATTCATTTCGAAATGAATGAGAGGTGCTAAAATTTTTTATGAACGCCGAAAAAGAAAAGGTCATGAATGTGTCTTGCCATGGCCAATTTCTCTATAAAATTAGCACGTTTTGATATTGACTCCCATCTGCATACGTGATAACGCATCCAGATATAGTTCTTTTCATGATTCACTATAGTTGAAATTCAAACTACGAGTAAAGAAATAGTAGCTATTTTTTTAAGTGTTGCGCTCCTAGAAAATTTAGAATTACCTTAGTATTGTGAGCTCGTTTTATATTGTTACGTAAGTGGTGTAAATTCTACGTCAACCTAGAAAAGACGTATATGTCCAGTACTTGTATCAAACATCCATCACAAGAAAAAATAATTTAATAATTAATTCTCAGTGTAACTGGGCTATATCATTATTAATCAACTTGATAATTAACTTCGATCTAATTTTACTTTAACAAAATGAATAGTTAGCAATTCTAAAAAAAATATTATTTTATATATATATATATATATATATATATATATATATATATTATATTTCATATATTATAATGTATCAATATTTTGTATGAAAACCTAATTAATATTTTTTTAATAATTAAATATTTGTTTCTATGAAAAATTAATTATTTTGGTTAAAAACAATGATAATTTAATTTAAAAAAATAATATAAAATTAAAGGGCACTGAAAAGTACAATATGTTTTTTAAAATTATTTTTCTTTATTATTATCCAAAATTTTCTTAAATATGTTTGATCAAATGTGCTTCAAATGGTACTGAATGTTTTTATTTTGAATTGTAGTTCTTTTTAACCAATATAAATATTTAAAACATGAAACATAGATGAGGATAGAAAGTTTTATAATGTGTTTTTTATTAACTTGTTTATCATCAACAATTATGTAATATCTCACCTGCATAAATCGTGTTTTTTAGTGGAGAAATGTTCTAAAATTTTAAGGGAAAAATACTCTAAAAGTTATGTTAAATGACGAATAATTGCGAATTAATATTGGAAAACTATGAATGTATATTTAACATTCTTTTTTAATGATTTTCATGTTCAACTAATAATTTTTTCTTTTTTCTTGTAATATTGAAATAGTTTGTAGATGTGGCAAAATTTAAATAAATGTCATTTTCTAATTAATATTCACGTCATAATATGTTTTATTCATTGTATTATGTACAGTCCGTCATAACTTTATTAAACACTTAGATATATTTAACATAATAATATTATTATTTAATTTTGTGGTAAAAAAAATTATGACAAATCCATAAATTTTGTGATGTCATATCATTAAGAATAATTTATCAGGTTAACATGGTTATTTTAAGAAAATTGATATTTTCATATTAGACAAGTGAGGACTAATGTTTTTCCTAATTTTTTCTTTGTTCATTATTTTTTGTCACATCTTGTCCTATAGGACGAGATATTAATAATTTTATATCACATTGTTCATTTTAAATTGATTTTTCTAGGTTAGAAGATGATGACTATGTACTTGAAAAAAAACCTGCATTTTTTTTGAAAAATTATTTACAAATGTTATTATTATTTTGATTCATGTCTTAAAAACAATCAAACATATTTGTATGCACACTTTTTTTCCTTTTGAATCCCCCACAAAAATTATACATGTGAATGGTATAATATCATTTTGGATCTAACTATTCTTACTTTGATCGATGACTTGTTTTTAACATGCATTAATATTTTAAAATGTCGGGTGAAGTTTATTTTAATTCCATTTTTATGAAAACATTATATTTATCTTCATTGTTGTATGTTTCTTTTATTTCCTCATAATATTGTGTTAAAGACTAATTAACTCTAATAATTGGGTCCTTCAATAATCTAACCATGATCAAATTAGAATTATGTCATTTGAATCAGTGGAGGAGACTTTAGGTTAGTTGAAGGAGGAAAGATAATTATGTTTGACGTTATTAAGGGTGGTGGAAACATGAAAGATGATAGTGGATTAATACAATTTTGAGAATTTTAAGAATTTTCACTTGCACGATATTATTGATCTTGTAATAAATTATAATATATTGATAATTATATTAATTAAGTTCTATAACTCACTAAAAATACAATTAAATATAGAAGAAAAAAAGTGATAAAATAAAACATACTTTTTTTATCCATACTTGACTTTTACAATGTTAAAACTTTATTGAAATTTATGTTTATTTGCACACTAAGCATTGTAACTACGTACTTAACATCTTGAAATCCAATGATTTTTTTTAGTAAGAATGACAAAATGGTGTAATTTATGTCGTTTTGGTCCACTCCTCCTTCAACACATAAAAAATAGGATGAGAAGAACTGCAAACCCAAGTTTATCCTACCAAAAAACTAGTTGACGAGCTACAAGGCAAACATGCCAATATTTTTTATATAATTTTTTGTTATATGTTTTTTTTTAAATATACCTTTAATTATAAAAAAAAATATTTAAAGTTTTTATTTATTAATTAATATTTTTATTAGAAAAATAGTATATTTATGTATTAAAATAATTAATTATAATTAATAATTTAAATTTAATAAGTTAATATTTATAATTTAGATTACAATATTATATTATATTTATATATTTCAACCGCGCGAAACAATAAATATAATATTTTTTATTATAATTTTTTATTTTAATTTTAATATATATAAATATTTTTTTTAAATGAAATTATAATATTTTAATAAATGATAATTTTTTAATTATAATATTTTTTAATATGTACAAAGAAAAAAATGAAATGATTTAAAGGATAAAACAAATAATAATCAAATAAAATAAAAAGAATTATGCAGAGAAAGAACAAATAATATAATAAATTTAAAAATAATTATATAAAACATATAGTCACGTGGACAATTTAGTACATGTTTGCCTTTGAAAATTCTCACATGATATTCTTTTTGTACCGTATTTATCCTATACACCTTAGTAATCATCATACATATCCTATACCATCATCCATGGTAAATAGTAAAATTAATTAATTAATTAAATGAAAAAAATAATAAATAATATTAAAAGACTAGACATGTTTGATTTTTTTAAAAATATTTTAGTTAAGTAATAATAACTAACATGATATAATGTAAAAAGTAAAAATATAATTAATATTATTCTCTAAATGTATGGATAAGAAATCATTATTTATGTTAAAAATATATATTAGTTTTGAAACAATTATTTAGAATAATATAATAAATCGTAGTTACACTGTGAAATATTTTATAATTATTCATTTGAATTGACGACATATAAATATCATTTAGTTTATTTAAAGTATAATTTTGATATCCTTTTAATTTTTGTTACTTGATTTTTTTCTCTCTCTGCGATTTTAGTTCTCTGGTTTTAGAAATTCCGTAATTTTGATTCGGTATTCAACGTTGCATTTCTTTATTTGATTAAAACCTAGGATTTAATTAAAGCATAAAAAATTTCAAAATTAAAATTTGGAATAAAACTACATATTCTGAAATACAAAAACTACAATTTAAAAAAATAAATGACCAAAGTCACATATAAAATAATGAAAGGAGGATTAATTTGAAGTTACCTTATATTTATGTTGAAATTACCTTTTATTGTATTTTTTCAATGTAACTTGAAAGATATGTAAACTAATTGTTTTAATTGCATTGTTTTATGATTTTTTTTATTCATGTATGATTTAATATGATTCTTAACTGCATAAAAATGTGAGTATAAATATTAAATTAGTAAAAATAATTGTGCTGTTAATTTAATATTAAGTTTCAGGTTTCAATATCGTCATTTTAAAAAAAATACCACTAAGTTTTTTTTTTGAAGATAGGATGTTTGATAAATTAAGTTTACTTTTTGGTCTATAAATAAAAAATATATTAATATTTATTTCTAAAAAATTTGAATTTTTTAAATATTTTAGTCTTTTTTATTATAAAAAATGATATGATTTTATTTAATGTGATAATATATGTATCAATTTAAATAATGAAAATATTTAATCATGTGAGAAATAAGATAACTTGACATACGAGACATTGGAGATGTTGGTTCAAAGTGTTTGATTAAAGCACGTTTTGTTTGAAACATTTTTTTCATTAGAAAAACATGACTTAATAAGAACATGTTTAAAGAGAATTCTTAAAAATAGTTAAGTTATTTCACTATTTTTTTTAAGTCATTTAAGTTATTTGTAAATAAGATGTTAAAAGTTACTTAAAAAATCTAAGGTGTTTCACTAAATATTTTTTGTTATAAAAATATAAAAGAAGAAAAAATTGAATTTAATAAGTAAGTCAATTATCATTATGATAGTATGTGTGTTAACAAGTGATTTTTTTTCCACTCCAAAATCTGAATGATAGTGTTTATGCAACATATTACAGAAGCTAACATGTCCAAAATTATTTTGGCATTAAACTTTAATTGTTAAAATAAAGAAAAATAGGAACAGCTAGTAATATTTTAAAAGAAAATGTTATTGGAATATTTTTTAAAGTTGGAAATTAATTAAATATTAGCAGTTTAACATGTCCCCCCAGAAACAAGTTAAGAAATGAAATGATGAAGAAAAATTAAAAAGAAAAATTGGAGTGGAGCAATCCAAGTGATGCATGGGTCGTTGATGTGGCACCGCGTTTTGTGTTTGCTTCCAGTTCAACGACGTTTACCAGTCTTGTGTGTGTGCAGTCTTTCTTCACTTTCTCTTCCTTCTTCGATCAATCCCCCGTTCCTCTCTGGTCAGCTCCGTTTACTTTCTCCCTCCTCTCATGCTTTTCATCTCTCACCACGCACCGATTCACAACAACCATAAAAACCTACAAATCTCCCTCCACGTCGTTTCAATTTCACCTTTCAAACCTAGAATCAGTGGCCACGTCGTTTTAGATGGATTCAGATGCATCACCTATCTCGGATTTTTGAGCATCGCAACCGTACCAAGGCCATGGATCGCAAGAACCCGCGGAGGAAGCCCAAGCTCGAGCGCCGCAACGCCCTCAAGTACTCCGAATACGACGCGGGATCGTCTACCTCCGACGACACGCTCTACACGCGCTCCATGGAGTTCTACGACCGCACCAGCTTCCGAATCGAGGGCGTCGAGGGCGAGTTCGATCGAATTTGCAGGAGTTTGGGCCTCTCCGGCCCAGAAGATTTCGCTATTCCCGCTGCGGCCTGGGAAGCCATGAAGTTTCGTTCCTCTTCGGATATTCTCCCGAGACTGAAGCTCGACAACCTCGATATTCCCGAGGAAGAGGAAGAAACCAGCGAAGAAGAAGAAGAACCGAAGGTAAACGAGGAGATAATAGTAAAACCACCTGAGGAATGTGAATTGACTGAAAAGTTCCAAGATAGGGTTAAGGTGAGGGAGGTAGATGAATCGAGCACCGGTATTAAGGGGGTTCGGCCGCCGATGCTGAAGCCGCCGCCGGGGGCGAGGGTTCAGATGGTGGATGATTTTGCGTGTTCCACGTGGGACCTTTTGAGGGATTTGGCTCCGATAGGGGAAGGGGTACAGATGAAGCATTCCGAGCATGAGATGGAATTAGAGAACGTTGCTCCGCAAGGAGAAGTAGAGAGGGAAGTAGCAGAGAAGGAAGAAGGGGAAGTGGGTAGAGCGAATCCGAAGAGGGACGAGGAAGAGAATGTGGATAGTGCAGCGAGGATTGCGGAGATCGTGGCTGGGTTTTCGGAATCGTGTTCGTTTTCCACGTCGAACGAAGATGATTCTTCCAGTAGTACCACGGATCATACGTCCAATAATATTTCTCCGCAAGGGAGAATCAAGCGGATTATTACCGCCGGAAGCTGGCAGAAGGGTGAGTTTCTTGGGGGTGGCTCGTTTGGCTCCGTTTTTGAAGGAATTTCTGAGTAAGTGCATAGTGTTCACCCTTCACTTTTTCATTCTCCCTTACGCTTCATCTCCTATTCTCGTCTTTTTTGTTTATTTATTTATAAATTTTAAATACTATTATTGTTACATGGGATTTGAATTATGTACAATTACACACTTGCATTATATAAACATTTCAATAATCCACATGGATAAACACTTAATTTGTTTCTTTCCTTCAACCATTATATTTTATCGGGCATTGGAAAAATAGTCCTTCGAAATTTAAGGAAATTTAAAAAATTGGCCTACTTTAGCTTGTGCGGTGTTGCTCCTTCCCCCCCCCCCCTCTCTCCCTCCTTTAAATTTGAATGAGAGGTGGATTGGATTGGGTGCGAGGTTAATGCTTTGGTAGTTTAGGAGTTTATGATTGGGATGGAAGGTTAGTTCCAGAGTATTGCTATGTAGGTTTGAATATGGAAATAAAATAGATAAGGCTTTGCTGTTATTACAGATTTCAAGCTATCGGGTGAAGATTTTCTGTAAAGTTAAAAAGCGGATGAAAGTAATATACTTGCTCCTACACTATTCTCTCAAATGTTTCAAAATAAAGAATAGGTAATGGTTATCGTGAGTAGAATAAGTAAGAGCAAAACTTAGCTGTTCTATGGATACATTTTGATGGTGTTCCAATGATAACACGTGTAATGGTTATTACACAATTTTTTTATTGAGGAACTGTTACACACTTGTGTCTAATAGATTCTGGAGCTCCTCGTTGAATCTGACAGGTTGATGTCTGTTCTTTTAAACATTTAATTGTTCTTTGCTTTGATGATGTCCTGCTATTTATTTATTTATTAATTTTACTTCGCTATTAGCCTTTTACTGATAAGTGTGATAACAATAATTCTGAAATTAAATTCTGCAAGTTTTATATTGTTCATCCTGATTAGGAAATGAAGTTGAGCTTCTTAGCTTGTTCGTTTGGCCACTTTGTGAAATCGATTCAGTGATACAGATGGCTTCTAGTTGAATAAACAATGTAAATATTTTTAGAATCGTAGTTAAAAGAGAACTCTAGAAATATTTAATGAGGTGAGTGAGCTAGGTTCTGCAGGGGTAAGGAAATTGTTACTGCTGTTTAAGGCCAGATTTTTGTCCAATACGAAAATATCTGGAAAGATTATTTCTAATGTACCATTATTCCTATCAAATTAATTATGTTTTTTTTTTGTGTGTATAAATTCGGGAGCCAAGCTTTACAATGATTTAGCATCTATTTTATGTTATGCAAGTGATAACTACTAACATGTTATTATACTTTCTGAATCACTGTAGTGACGGGTTCTTTTTCGCTGTAAAAGAAGTTTCACTGCTTGATCAGGGGACTGTGGGAAAGCAAAGTGTATATCAACTGGAGCAGGTGACGGCATACACTTTTTTTTTTTTGCTTTATAATTTTTTCTACATACTTGTCCAATAATGGAATACTTCAATGAAAAATAAAAAGAAGTTTTGAGAAATGAATGTGCTATGCCCCATTATATTATTTGAGTCGAGAGATTACTGTTCTTCATGCTTCTCACACTACGTTTATTTTCTCACATTTCTCTTTCACTTCTCTCAGGAAATAGCACTTTTGAGTCAGTTTGAGCATGACAATATTGTTCAATACTATGGCACGGAAATGGTAATTTCTCGTTCGAAATTCCTTTTCTTTTTGTGTTTATTTTAGTTACCTTTCAGTCTATGTTGTCTCGTCTTGTTTTCTTCTTTTATGTTCAATTTCATTTTTTCTTCTTGTTTACTTTTATTATAAAAATCTATTTGTTGCCGTTATAGATTTTGTCAATAGTAACACGTCCTATCGCAAAGACTCAAACTTCTTACAATGTTTCCAATATTAGCCGAATGTTTGTAGTTAGGTGTCGGGGCATGATGTCATGATAGCCCGTGAAATGTAGTCTAGTGTTTATATGATGAAGTATTCACGTGACTGCAATAACTAATAACGTAAAAAGTTCAGACATAATTCAAAAAATGATTTGTATTTTACACTTTGCTCAATGTTTGTGCAGGATGAATCAAAGCTGTATATCTTTCTTGAGTTTGTAACCAAAGGTTCCCTAAGAAGCCTCTATCAGAAGTATACACTACGAGATTCCCAAGTATCTGCCTATACAAGACAGATTTTGCTTGGTTTGAAATATCTTCATGATAGAAATGTGGTTCACAGGTGACTTCAGATCTTATTTTATTTTCTCAATCCTGTTTCACTTTCCTTTATGTATATATGATTTCTACTTTTCCATGGTAATAATGGTCTTGATTCATACGGTATGGTTCAGTTGGCCAGAACAATGCCGGCAAGGGCTATATGGTTCTTACTTTCCTTTCTACAAAGGAATTTTCACTTTTGCGTACTTTCTTGTAGTTGAAATACTTAGTTGGTAAATGACTTGTGGTATTTATTTTATTTTCTTCTTGTAATTAGCCCGCATTGTTTTTATTTTCTGTCAAATTTTGGTCTATTTTCATTGTTTGAAATGCGTTTTACTTGTTTGGCCAAAGAGAGTTGAGGAGTGAGCTGGAAAAAGGAAAAATTGGGTGGGGGTATCCATTTATTTTCATGCCCCGAACTACTACCTTTTGACGCTAATAGTGCTGTATTTATTTGTTGATGGTGCATTAGTTTCTTCCAGTTGTTAGTTACATTGACCTTTGAATTCAAATGATTAAAAAGGAAAATCAAGTTCTTCAATATGAGACAAAGATAGGGTTGAATGGTTACATGCATGTGGGAATTTTCAGTTTTGGAAATTTTAATAAGCAGATTTTTGTCTGAGTTATAGCTTGGGATTCATTTGACATCCTATTTTCTGCATTCCTGTACCAGTTATGTAATTGGGATGAAACAATCATTGTAAATATTTTCTAAATTATATTTCCCCAATTTAAGGGATATCAAATGTGCAAATATATTGGTGGATGCAAGTGGATCTGTCAAGCTTGCAGATTTTGGATTGGCAAAGGTATTCACTCTCTTCATTTATGTTTCCTGGTCTAGGGTTTCTTTTATTTCTAGAATATTATCAGTTTAGAAGTCTGAATAACCTTAAATTTCTAATCCTTTTCATTTTTCTGAAATTGCTATATGAATTGTTTTTCAGGCAACCAAATTGAATGACGTTAAATCAATGAAGGGTACAGCATTCTGGATGGCCCCCGAGGTTTGCCTTAAATCTGTACTTCCTGCATAAATACTGTATAATGTTTCTTGCGCCAGATTTATCAATGGAGCGTGTACATGGTTCCAACCTTCAAAATAATTTCCTTAACAGTGATCGGTTATGTTAATAGCTAGATGCATGACTCTGACATTGATTTCTGCCCGCTCCCATTTAGCTGTGAACTGTACACTTATTAAATGAAATTATAGTGTCACAGTTAAAATTGTAAACATTCAGTATGCTACTGGTCCAAAACCCTAGAATCCAAGGAAATTATTAGAACTCAATCAAAATAAACTACATAGCAACATTAGATCGTGTCACATTTTGTTAATGAGACACTATTAGAGAACATGGAAAGTTGAATTTTACCTGTTCTCTTTTGCTTTGTCCTTTTTACCTACCATATGACTTGATCAATGTAAGAAACAGATGGGTGTAATTATTTATAGTGGTAGTGATTATACATGTCTTGTTTCAAGAATTCATTGCTTTCGTACATATACAAGAAGCATCCATTTGCTTTTGAAACTTTAATACTTTCTTAAAGTCTTCCCCTTTTGGGTGTTTCGGCTTTTGATTTACCGATAGCATAGCAATCTATTCTTAATCTGACATTTGCAGGTTGTGAAAGGAAAGAACAAGGGTTATGGGCTTCCAGCTGATATGTGGAGTCTGGGATGCACTGTACTGGAGATGTTAACAGGCCAACTTCCGTACTGTGATTTGGAATGTGTATGTGTCATATTATTTCTATTTAACTTCTCGTTCTTATTGTTAGCTCATAGTAAGGGTGATCATGTGACACATGATTTGCCTTTTCTATCTCAAGGGAGGGCTCTTCAATTCTCACAATTTCACTTCTGATTTTAATTCCCCAATTATTTTTTTTTATCTTCTCATGTGTTTGCGCCTTCTCATTTTTTTGCCTTTTCTGTTTAATAATTATTAAACTATTCAGGCAACCACTTTTGATCCAAATTATAAGGTTTTTACATTTTATTTTGTAAATTAACTTAGTGATACACAGATACTTAAAATAGTAAAAAAAAAAAAAAGAGGCCTAATGATGAATTTATAACATATTATTTTACTATTTAATATTTAGTAAAAGGAAAAATGAGAGAAGAAATATATTTTTTAATTGTTGTTTGTGTATCTTTTTCCATTAAATGAATTTTGCTTAATGTTCTGTGTCCGGCGGTTAATATTGGGTAGAAGTGTCAGTTGACGATTCTTATATATATGCCATTATTCACAAATTGCATTACTGCTGCCTTTGACTGTTAAGTTTTAATTAATCTCTGAAAACAACAGATGCAGGCATTATTTAGAATTGGAAAAGGTATTCGACCTTCTATTCCTGACTCTCTTTCCAGAGATGCAAGCGATTTTATCCTGCAGTGCCTTCAAGTTAATCCAAATGATCGTCCCACTGCTGCTCAACTTTTAAACCATTCATTTGTCCAAAGGCCACTTTCCCAGTCCTCTGGTTCTTCATTTCCTCATGTTCATGGCCGGAAGGATTAAACTATGAAGCATTATTGGAGGTAAATGCATACTATCTCATTTTGCCTCGAATTTTCTCTTTTCATCATGGCACCTGAATTTGCACATATAAAAAAGAAAAAAAGTTTTGATCGTTGTCTATCCTTACAAGATTTCCATTCGTTACTCAAGTCATAACATTGCATCCATTTGTGCAAGCATTGGTTAAATTTATCTGTCTCACTGGCTTATTTGATTATTTTACTTTTCCAATGTTCAGTCTCGGCGTTGCAGGGGTTCATCTAGGGTCCATTAATGCAGAAATCGTTCATTCGCTCGTGTTGTATAGGGTTTGCTTGATTGTAACTTGTATCAAATTTTCAGCACGGCTTTGGATCTAGCAAGTGACATGGCACACCACAAAACTAAGTTATCGACTTGGCATATCCTATTGGAGAATTATGCTCAATATGTGTTATCTAATTACTCTGATGATTTGTCCCTTGTAACAAAGGTGGAGTATCAACTTGCAGCTGAAAAAGCTACCCTTGCCTTCCCCTCATTTTACCTGACAGACGAAAAAACTATAGGGCTTGCTTAACTCGGGAGCATTAGTATAGCGAGAATTGGGAATGATTCTATTTGTATATATTATTTATTTATTATTTTATGAGCATGGCATTGTTTGTGTACATCTCTATATCACACTTTATCTTTTTGCGTGTCTAAATTCTCGTGTTTGACATTTCCCATCTTTTGCATGACCTGTGAAAATTTGGTCATTGCCCTGATGCTATTGGACAAACAGATGGTTTAGATCCAACTACAACTGACCAAGCCACTTCACCTTTCGTTTATAGATACACTTGGACTTTAAATGCTGAAATCTATCTTCAAATGAGTCATTATTTCTTCAAGTGAAATTCCTTATTGAGTTCAACTCTTTTTTTTTTTCTTCTTCTCTGTCACTACTTAATACTTATCATTTACATCAGCAGCATATATCAATGTTCAATAATATATATTGGGATGTTTCCATTTGTTTAACACAATTTGCATCTTCAATGTATGTATGTTCTCCATTAATACTACGAAGAAGTAATTAAAAAATTAATTATTTAATTGTTATCTTTTAATATGTATTTTACAAAATATAGTAAAATTATATATAAATAAAATTTAATTATAGTCACAGTGTGTTGTGCTGGTTTATGCCAGGTTTTTATAAAATATATTTATACTAATAATGATGTGTATTTTTTTAAGCAAAATCTTAAAATACCAGGGAATGATGTACTTAAAAAAAATCTTATATTTAGATATTGAGATAGAAACGTTTATACTTTTTCTTGATATTTTTGTAGTATCCAAGAAAACAAAAGACAATGAGAAATTTAAAGGTCCAATGGAAGAGTGTATGGGGTGGGAGATGTCCAATGAATATACTAAGTCAGAGTAATATAGTATCATATCCCGGGTTCCACCCTGATTATATTGATAGCATATGCTCAATATAGTTATAATCATATTACTATTCTCAAATATTGTCATCTTATCATTGTAATTTGTATTAACAAAAGCAAATCAATTTATTTATATAGTTTTTTTATCTTGTGTTTCTAAAATTAAAAATATAAACTTTTGAAAAAATAAAAAATAAAAAAAATTAAATTTTGTAATATACACAAATCTTTTATATATTAACTTTACTATTTTATATGTGTTTTTCTAATTTATATTTTAATTATGACTTTATTCTTAATATTTTAATATATATATATATATATATATATATATTTTAATTATAGACACATAAACATAATATCACCTAAATATTTGTTAGTACTATTAATAATATTAATAGTAATAGTCTATCATTATAAAAATATCTTATTTTATAATGATTTTTAATAAACATTTACTTATTTATTAAATAAAAATAGTATATTATTTAATACCATATAAATTATGTTAGAATCGCTAGTAATGAATGTTCGCGTGGTCGGACAAAAACCAAGAGGGGGGTGAATTGGTTACTTAATAAAAATTAGGTTTTCAAAATTTTCCCCAAATTTTACCGATTAAAAACTGCGTAAATGTAAATAGAGAAGAGTAGAGAAGATTACACAATAGGTTTATACTTGGTTCGGATCAAAAGACCCTACGTCCAGTTGCTAATCACTCAAAAGAGGATTAACGCCGTCACTAAGAACAAAGTTGTTACAACACAAATTATAATGAAAAAGATAAAGTTAAAGATAAAACCTCTCTTGAAATCCACAAGAGATGATAAACAGACTTTCCCCGAGACGGCACTGACACACAATCCACTAAGAACTCCACTTAGTGATTCTTATCGCTTCTAGCCTCACACCAAGTTTCCAAAAGCCCCGAAGAACAGCTTTCCCCGGAGATCGGCACGACACTCAATCCACTAAGAACTCCACTTAGTGATTCTTATCGCTTCTAGCCTCACACCGAGTTTCCAAAAGCCCCCTTTCCTTGCAACAAACAGTTCTCTGGCACTCACGAGCACTTAACTTTTGTATGGAAAGAGTTGTTCTTTAGTTGTTCATGTTTCGAGTGCTAAAGCAGAGTTTAAGTAGGGAAATTAGGGTTTAGGAAATGAGGATTTCGAAACTAGGGTTCTTGGTAATTGGGTTTTCGAAAATAGGGTTAATTTGAAATTTAATTTGAAAAAGCAGATCGAAATAATCGATTATTTGGAGTAATAATCGATTAAAACAGAGCCAAATACTTCAGAACCCAACCCTCTCGGAATAATCGATTATTTGGTGAAATAATCGATTATCTGTACGGACAGGTACAAAACAATCGATTCTTTTGTCTGTTTTAATCGATTAAAACAGTGAGTTTGTATAGAAAGTGTTTTCTCATCTGTTTTAATCGATTATTTACCTATATAATCGATTAAACCCGAGCTCGAATGATAAATTTGAGCTTTTTGAAGCTTCTAAGTTACGGACTATGTATCGGCTATCTTAGACTCTAAAAATACAGACTCAATCTTAAATAAATCAGAGTTATTACAATACAATTATCACCAATCTTCAATCTTCAATATTCTAAGTCTTTAGTTCTTGGATCATCATCAAAATCCATTCTTCATATTCATCAAGTGCAACATCAAGTCCTTGAATTGTCAACAATCTCCCCCTTTTGATGATGATCAAAATTTTCTTTTAAAGCCCTTTGTAATAACCTCGTTTTATCCGTCATACTAACAAACACATTAAACATACCAGATAAAATTTAAAATTGAATCATAGGCTTTAAATTTTTCTCCCCCTATTTTGATTATAATCAAAAAGAACTCTGCAACATCAATCATAAGAGCTCCCCCTCAAAATATGCATAAGTTAGAGAAAGCTCCCCCTCAATCATAGCATAAAAGAAACATCAAATTTTATTTCATAATCATTTATCCATTACAATAGCAAGACAATAACAAAAGAAAATACATAACAGAATTTAAAATTCTTCAACTGTCCTCATCATTAAAGTGAGTATCAAATCTATTTTCTAATCTACCCACTCTATCATCTACATCGGATATGCGACGAATAATTTCATCATGGCGTACTCCAGAAAGATTGAAGAAAGATTGCATTCTTTGATTCATGTCGGAAAGCATATCTTCCATGGATTGTCTTGTTTCTTGATGAGACGAGGATGTTCCAACACTTTGGATTTGGTTAGAGGGAAAATTATCAGCTGGAGGCATATCTTCATCGAGTCTTCATTTGCATCACTTTGATTTTGAACGTCATCTTTGTGAACATAGATGTCATTGACACGCACCATTTGAAGTTGAGTCAATGTGCTTGTCCAACATGCGGTTTAAGTTGTTTGTTCTAACTGCTTGCTCACCTTCAACATTCACTCCTTTATATTCAAGAATACGGGATACAAGAAGTGCATATGGAATTTTGAAGGTGTGATGACGTTTTGCTTTAAGCATGGTCATTTTGACAAGAACACCCCAATCTAAAGGTTCATTATTCATTATGGCATGAATAATTCGAAGATCAATGGAAGAGCATTGGGCATGATTCGTAGCCCGGGACATAAGATCCATACAAGTAAATGTAGAAGCATGCGTTCTTCCTTCTTTAAAGGTCCAAGCATGAAGAATACGTCCAACCTCCGGAGAAGGATTCCGTGAAAAGATCGATAAGCTAAGAACCTGTCAAAGTCATCTAGCTCACCATAAACGTTAATAGCATCTTCTCTAATGGGGAAGTGAGCAACATTTTCCCAAATATCATCATCTAGAATTATGGTAACCCCTTTTACACGGGATGTAGCAATTTGATCCCTAAACTTGAATCTAGAATAGAATACCCTAACTAAGTCAGGATAGTATGTACCTTGCATTTGGATAAACTGGAGAATTCCTTGAATTTCAAGAAGATTAGGAAAATTGAAACCCCTACGAATGAATTGCTCACCTATAAGAAATTTGGGAGAAATAATAGCTTTTTCTTTCCAAGTAGGTTAGAAATTCTTGTTGACCATCTGCATCGGAGATCCATCCTTCTACGTAATTAGGACGGGAATGAGAAGAAGGTGCGGATCTTCTTCTTGTAGGAATCTTAGGGCGAGAGGATGAGGCCATTTGAAAGAGTAGATAAACTTGAAGAGATTTTGGAGACAAGTGAGGGAATAATGAAGCAAAGAGAGTATAGATTTCAAGAAAACTTGATTACAAGAGTTAGAAGTGAGTATAATTGACCTAGATGTCTCTATTTATAGAGAAAACACTTCCAACGGTCATATAGAAAGGATTTCATGGCAAAATATCCGTTGGCAACGGCTAAGAGGCAAAACTGGTCGCATTTAATCGATTATATTTCAAGATAATCGATTATTTCAATATCTGATAGCTTTAATCGATTATTTCCAAGTAAATAATCGATTATTTCGAGAGGAGAATACCCTGTTTTGGGCGTTTTTAAGGGAAAATAATCGATTATCACTTCCAGATATCGATTATTCCGGAGGCTATATCAAGTTTTTAAGGTTTTGGCACATTATAACCTATGAATATCCTGCATCACGAATTTAATCATAATAATCATCCCAAAACAGTCAAATTAAGCAGAATTTAAGCTATTTCTAGTATCCCTAAGTCTCTTCTAAGATCATAGAATCTATCCTTGGGTAGAGGCTTAGTAAATATATCTGCTAATTGACGTTTAGTGTCTACATACTCTATCTTACAGTTTCCTTTGCTGATATGATCTCTTAAAAAGTGATGTCTAATCTCAATATGTTTAGTCCTAGAGTGCATTACTTGGATTTCTAGTTAAGTTGATTGCACTCGTATTATCACACATTAATGGAATGTCATTTAAATATATGCTATAATCCTCTAATTGTTGTTTCATCCACAGAATTTGAGCACAACAACTACCAGTACGCAATATATTCAGCTTCAGATGGTAGATAAAGCAACACATGCTTGTTTCTTAGAATGCCATGATATTAAGGATGAACCTAACAAATGACATGTCCCACTAGTGCTTTTTCTATCAATTTTACATCCACCATAATCAGCATCAGAATATCCTAATAAACTAATACAAGCATCAGACGGATACCACAAGCCAAATCCAGTAGTTCCTTTTAAGTATTTTAAAATATGTTTTACTGCAATTAAATGAGATTCTTTAGGACAAGCTTGAAATCTAGCACACACACAAACAGAATGCATAATATCAGGTCTACTAGCAGTTAAGTATAATAGTGATCCTATCATACCTCTATACATAGTTTGATTTACTTCCAAACCTGATTCATCCTTGTCTAAATAGCATGAAGTTCCCATGGGTGTGTTAGCTTCCTTTGAGGTGTCCATACCAAACTTTTTGAGGATCTCTTTGCAGTATTTAAGTTGGTTGATTTGAAGTCCAAGGAAGAATGTTAATTCTCCCATCATAGACATTTCAAACTCTCCCTGCATTATCTTAGCAAATTCTACACATAACAAACTATCAGTTGATCCAATAATATATCAACAAGTAACACATCTTTGATCTCCAAAGTGTTTGCACCGCAGTTGCTCAATTGATTGCTTAAGGATGTGTGAAAACTTATATTCAATGTGAGTTTAGAAAGTTCAAGCCAAACTGTTTTCAATAGAAGATTTTCAAAAACTGCTGGTTTAATTAATCTGTTAAAAGTTTCTTTTAATCTGTTAAAAGTGCAGTTTTAATCTGTTAAAACATCTTTTAATCGATTAAAACGCAGTGTAGAAAAAGTTTTTAAGTTGTTTTAATCGATTGAAACGAGTTTTTAACCGATTAAAAGAGTTCTGATCGGTCATAATAAAAATCTGATCGGTCATCCTGACTCGATCGGTCATAATAAAAATCTGATCGGTCATCCTGACCCTTTAAGTGATTTTAATCAATTGAAACGTGTTTTTAATCGATT